GTGGTCACACCAGATACTGACTGGTTTTCGGACCCCCCCGGACCCCCCAATACAGTAAAACTGCACATTTTAGAGTGGCCTTTTATTGTGGCCAGCCTAAGGCACACCTGTGCAATAATCATGCTGTCTAATCAGCATCTTGATATGCCACACCTGATTTTGAGAGAAATAGGCCTTTTGTGTATATAGAAAAAGTCTTAGAACTTTGAGTTCAGCTCATGAAGGACTTGATTAGTTGGATCTGGGGCCTGTGATGGTGGCTGAACAAACTCGGAGTTACAGGATTAGTTTTGAGTTGACAAAACCAAACCAGGCCAATTCGGCTTTGTTGGTACCATGAAGCTCATCATCAGCTTTCTCTGTCAACTCAGGCTTGATCCTGAGTTAATGGAGCACGTGCACATGAAAGAGTGACATCAGTAATGAACAGCCAATCAGATGCCTTGAAACTGTGATTCACTTCTTGAGAGAAAGTCAGTGCAATTCACTACCAAAGATTAAAATATTGAACAATATGAAGAATTTAAACACATTTACAAGATGAAACGATCTATACATGAAAGAGGAAAACTTAAAAAAAAAATTTGCCTTATAAGTGCAAGTAAAAGTTGTAAAGTTAATTTATAGAGTTGATAATATTTATAGGTATAAAAGCACTTAAAAATCTAAGCTCATATGTAGTCATGTTTAAAGCTATTGATTCTAAAACTTATTTATTAATTTTTGTTTAAATTGATAGTTTAGTTGTCCTATAAACTTAAATTGGTAATGTTCTTGTTACGCAGCTGAAATCCAAGTAAAAAAATGCAGACCCTGTTGTATTTTCTTGTAATTTATTAAAAGAAGGTACACCGCCATCTTGTGCCGACTAAACTGACTTGAACGCACCTGACGTCATAATTACGACTTGTCAACTCGTAAGTACGAACGTCCCAGGAGGACTTGAATGCAGCATTAGAGAAACTGGGGGAGTGGCTTTATTGCGTCAGACATGTGTTACTTTGTTTGAAGCTGATCGGTCAAATTTCGGTTTGAGATCTCTAAACCAGAACATAACCTGCCCCAGAGCAGGTTGGCTGTGGAGTGTAAGTTACTAAGGCAATTAATGCCGCTAAAAGCCAAGACACTTTCGTGGTACCTAAAACCCAGGATTGGTGCAAACTAAACTGAAACTTACCCGGCTAGCCAGCTAATCTCGCTTCATGGTACAGCCCCCTGGTGCTGCGTTTGCGTGTGGACGAACGGCCAAACCGCGTAGAAAAAGCTGCGGTTTTAAAAATAACCAGGTTTGTGTGGACAGGGCCTTAGTATGCAAGTAATTTTAAAACACTGTAACTTGTATGTGATGTCCTGACAATTAACCATAGCAACAGTAGGCTGCTCAAACAATTTTAACAAATATATTACAAAAACTGTTATTAAAAAATTATGTCGATGGTAAGCTAACTGCACTAGGGATGCCTAAATACATTTTAGTTTAATGAACTTCAACAGAATTAGCCCAAAATTTACAGATACAGGATCTTTTAAAAAATCAGCATGAACACTGCAAAAGCCATAAATGTTCCCAAACACCAGCCAGCATCAAAATGAACAAGCCTCTGAAGACTTTATACAGACACTGAGTGAATCTGGGATAATAAATGTATTTGAACCTCATTTGAATGAACACAATCAACACTGTTAAATCAAATATTCGGTGAGTTGAAGTTCCTTTTTGCATAAATAGTGGCTAGACAAACACAGATGAGGAACACAACACAGTCCACTACAGGAGAGAAACTAGTGTTAGATTATTGGCATCTTGACGACACTGAAACTGTCAGAAAGTGAACAAAAATATAGAAAAGGGAAAATGAACAGAGAACATGGGAAAAGCGTTAATGATATCTATGAAAATTACTTTGTTACAAAAGGTACATTTGGAAAAAGGACCACAGACAGTCACACAACGAGAATCCAGTCATCTGAACTCACAGGTACTGAGATTAATTAAGAATATTTCATCACACAAACATAATTGCACAAATTTGATAAATCATCTAAAAGCCCAAACATTTGGTCAGTTTTCATGTTTTCAGTTGCTGTGAGCTGTGTTAAATTAATAAATAAAGAGAATAAAGTCATGTTTGTTGATGGTCAGGAAGTGATGGTGTGAAGATCAGAAGCTCCAGAGCAGCTGCAGTGTGTTTGGTGCTGCTGTGTGTTCTTCTGCTGACTGCAGTCATAGTGCTGTGTGTCCACATCCATACAAAGAGCACAAACTACACACAAGAGAGACAGCAGCTGCTAACTAAGATCACCAACCTCACAGAAGAGAGAGACCACTTGAAATCAGACAAAAATGAACTTCAGAATTATTTTGCAGGTAAGTTTCTTCAGTCTAACTGGTAACTTGCTCTGAAGCAGACTCCGTTTTTAAAGTGGAGAGAACTGGATCTGTTGTGTTGGGATCATGTGGCTAATTGCTCGTATTGACTTTACTTTAGCGCCATGTTTATAATGATTAATAATAATTTAGGGATGTCAAATGAGTATAATACAGTACACAGTAAACAGACTACTTCACTGCTTAGTGAACACTACTGAAATCAATTCAAAACACTGACAAAAACCTCCTTTTAGGAATCAGGAATCATTCTGCAGGTCAATGTCTATTACAGTATACAGCAGACATAGAGGGAAAAAATCAGCAATAAGCTTTAAGAAAAGTTTGTTTTAATTTCACTGCTGTAAAGAGATCGTGCAGTAGATGAAAAGCACTAGAAAAGTTCAAAGACCAAAGACCTGAATATGAATACAGTCAGTTACTGTACAGTAATAAATTTAATAATTCATCATCCTCTGACAAATAGCTTTACGGTATTGGTAATGACCAAATGTTCCATTCTACAGCAGTTTCGTAGTCTTTCTCCTAGACAGTCGTCTCTCAGTCCTGCAAAAATACATGTAAGAAGTCCTTTGCTACAAATCAATCCAACAGTTATGAGTTTGAGGGTGTACAACTTGTGCTACAGTAT